GCGTGTCCGTGTCTGTGTGTGTGTGTGTGTGTGTGTGTGTGTGTTTTACCTGCTGGTCGATCCCGACAGCGTCCAGCCCGTGGTACATGATATTTACCCATCCATCTTTAGACGCCAACACAAACAGTGACATCAGAGCCTGAAACAGAGAACCACCAAATAAACACATGGCCGATCAGCAGCTGCAGGAAGACAAGATCACATTTATTTCCTCCACAGGACTGAACTGAGAGAATGGATTTCGAAAGATAACGATATACCATTTTCATACAATTTTTTTCTTCAAATGAAAGTCTGTAATGTTCAGATCTGGCTGGTTTGGATCATGACTTAAAACTCTTCACTGGAGAATATTTAGTAATGTTTTTAGAGGAAATGATTGGAAAAACAGAGACTTCAGGAAGCAAACGCGTCCGCTCAGTGTTCAGCTCATCAGCAGAAGGGGTCTGACCCTCACCTGTCCCAGGTTGTCAAAGTTGTACTTGTGATGAACCCAGCGGTAATTGGCAGAGAGACAGTCGGATTTATTGGTGATGTTCTTCACATCCAAACCCACACAGTAATAGAACTTCCCTTTGAAGAGCTGTTGAGACACACACACACACACACAGACGCGCACACACACACACGCACACACGCACACGCACACACACACACACAGACAGACGCACACACACAGACACACACGCACACGCACACACACACAGACACACACACACACACAGACGCACACACACAGACGCGCACACACAGACACGCACACACATACACACAGTGAGATCAGCGTCTGACTGAGCAGGACTAGAGATCACTGTCGACTGAATGTGAGATGAACCTGAACTCCCAGGATGCCGAAGATGATGAAGAAAGCGCAGCAGATGAGGACGATGTTTCCGATGGGCTTCAGCGACGTGATCAGAGTCTCCACCACCAGCTTCAGACCCGGAGCTCGACTGATCACCCTGAGAAACCGTGAAGAACAGAACCAGACCAGACCTCCTGACAGTCAACCTCAGAGATTTAAACCTTCAACTGGTAAAAGTTGGGTTCTGGGTCAAAATGACCCTAATTAGATTCAATAAAATAAAAAAAATCACATTATGAAAAAAAAACTAAATCTGGTAAAAACACTAAAACATGCCTTTTAAAACTGCATTTTTTTTTTTTTTCATTTTTGATTTTTTTTTTTTTTTTAAATGTGTGCCTTCCTGAAGCTCAAGCAGTAGAGCATATCATTATCAATGTCAAGATCATGGGGTTCATTCCCAGCAAAATTCACATGCATGAACTGATAAAAATTTACACTTTCAACACAATATGCATTTCTTCGATTAAAAGCGTCTGCCATACGTGCACATTCACTCAGAAGGTAGTTGGAGATACTGGCATAACAAAATACATATTTATATGTAGCTGCCTTGAAATATCTTGAAATTTCTTACAAAAACCTTAAACTATGAAATTTCCAGGTCAAATTGACCCGCTAGCATCACAATCGTAATAGAAATTTTGTACGCACAATACCTCACTGTCAAGTCACCTTTATTTCTACAGTGCTTTACACAATACAATTTGTTTCAAAGAAGCAGAGTGTCAAATCTCTGCATGCATGTTTACGACCCTAAATGAGAAATAGTTCTAGAGAAACATCCAGTTTTTCCGGCAACTCAAATTGATCTTTGAACCTCGATGAATCCTGAACCTGCAGTCTGTTCATCTCTGAAGGACTAGTTGGTTAAAGAAAGCCCTGATGGGGCTGGTTTAGGTACATGTGTCTACTTGACCTAACTAATCAACTAATTAGTTGTTCACCTGAGCGGACGTAATGTTCTCAGCAGTCTGAGCACCCGCAGGACACCCAGGATCTTCGCTCCGCCCGTCATCGACACCACAATATCAATCAGAGACACGAAGACGAGAAACCCATCCAGAATGTTCCAGCTGCTGCGCAGATACGCACGATCCCCCAGATACAGACCCTTAGAAACCACCTGAGACAGACGAGACAGAGACCGGATCAGCTGGCTTTGACTCGGGACACAGAAACTAAAGGGTTAATTATACAGAGTAAACACAAACATGCAGAAAACGAACCCTGTAACGCCTGACATATCAAATAATAAGAAGAAAAATCTTCTTTTTTTTTTTAATGGAACAGTTTAATATTTACACAAAATATTTAAAAGTAAAAAAAAAGTTTGCATATGTGTTTTCATCAGGTTTTATGATTCATATGTGACCCTGCAGCACAAAAACAGTGTTAAGTCGCTGGGGTATATTTGTAGCAATAGCCAACAATACATTGTATGGGTCACAATTATAGATTTTTCTTTTATGCCAAAAATCATTAGGATATTAAGTAAAGATCATGTTCCATGAAGATATTTTGTAGATTTACTACTGTAAATATATCAAAACTTAATTTTTGATTAGTAATATGCATTGCTAAGAACTTCATTTGAACAACTTTAAAGATGATTTTCTCAAAATTTAGATTTTT